GGTAAGTCTCCCTGGATATAATCAGCTGGTCTTTAGTGAAATAATTTTCATTATAGTCCAGTCCCAAAGATAAGAATGATTTCCATGTGTCAGCAATAAATGGGATAATCATCACTGGTTTAATTTAGGAAGCAAGTATGCTTTGAACCAGTGGTGAAATCTGTGGGCGTGGCTTGGTGGGCGTGGCAGGGGAAGGATACTGCAAAATCCCCATTCCCTCCCCACTCCTGGGGGAGGATACTGCAAAATCTCCATTCCCACCCCACTCCTGGGGGAAGGATACTGTAAAATCTCCATTCCCACCCCACTCCAGGGGAAAGATACTACAAAATCTCCATTCCCACCCCACTCCAGGCGAAGGATACTGCAAAATCTCCATTCCCACCCTACTCCTGGGGGAAGGATACTGGAAAAAAAGGAACTTCATTTGAGCGCATACTTTACATAGAGATATATATATCGGGCAGTCAATTCAAAGTCCAAACTTCCAGCAGAAAAAAAAAAAGGAGAAGAAGCCAATCAGAGAGCCGCAGAGGCTTTTGCTTCTCTGATTGGACAAAATGACTATCAATCGGAGTTCGTTCTTGAGGCTGTGATTGGTTCCTCTTCTCGCTTTTCCCAACCTTCCAGGATCAGAGCGTAAGCGGCCCCCACCCACCCTTCATTGCCTCGCGGCCTAGGCGGTCCACCGCCTTGATTGAAGGCGCGCCGGCCCAATGGCGTCGCTGCCTCCGGGGCCCTTCCTCCAGAAATGGGGAGGATCGGGGAGGGGCCGCCGCGAGGCGCGCGGGAGAGCAGGCAGAGGCCCGTCGCGGCGATGGGAGGGATCAACTACTTGAGACGGAACAGGGCGGCGTTGGCGGAGGCGGAGGATGTGGAGTCCTCCTGGGAGGAGCTGCCGACACCGCCGACGACGTTGCCGACGCCCCTGCCCGCCGGCACCGGCTGGAGCAGCAGCAGCAGCAGCAGGGCCGCCGGGGGGACTTCGTGGGGGCAAGCCATGCTGGGCGCCGGGGTGGGCGCGGGGGCTAAGCCGGCCAAGCCCTCCTTCGTCTCCTACATCAGCCCTGAGGTGAGGCTTTTGGGGGGGGGGACACGCGCGCGCACACGCGCGTTCCGAAGAGTTCCCGCGAGACCGGCGGGCGAAGGCGGCTCGGTCCCCGGGTTTCCTCTCGGGCGGCGCCGGGGCTTCGTCGTCCTGTGAGGGAGGGTGAAAAAAAAACAAAAAAAACCAAAACTTGGCTGCTTTGTGGGCCGGGGTGCCGTTGTTCCAGCCCCGCCCGCCTCTCCATCCCTAGTCTAGGAAATGGGATCCCTCTTCCTTATTCAAGGGAGTCTTGAGGGTTTTTTTTTTGAGGGGTGTGTGTGAGGAAATGGGGTCAAGACCCCTATAAAGAGCATTTTACTCTTGGCAACCGGCGGCGTCCTCCTCTCGTTGACGAAACCCTCGGGAGGAAGAGGGGACTTAAATCAAACGGGTTTTGGGGGGGGGCAGATTTAAATGTCAAAAAGGGGTGGGGGGGGCTTCGGGCGCTGCCAAAACGGGGGATAAAGGGTGCCGTTTTCCCGTCTTTCCCTTTTATTTATTGATTTCTTTCGTCAAGCACGTATTTTACGACAGATACAAGTGTAAAACTTAATTATAAATACATGAAAAGGATACGAGGAAAAGAAAACATTAGGACTGAGAGGGTAAAAACGTGGGAAGAAGTTGCATGTGTCCCTTTTGAGAGCTGCATGCCACCAAATTTCGTTTTCATGGACTGCCGATTAGTGTAACATCCAAAGTGACAATAAAGTTACCATGTTCTATTCTGTGTGAGAAACGGTATCCCTGTGCTCTTCCCCCTTCCCGGGTGCATCTCTCTCTCTCTGAAGGAGCGTAAATTGCCCTTGTCTGGAAGCACCTGCTTCCTCAGGAAAAGCATGCGGTTTTTATATACTTTAATCAGTGTATTATTATGGGATGGGTTTACAGCCAAGCCCGTGTTTTGAGTTTAATTTTAAAAGCTAAAAGGTGTAGGGATGCTGCAGGGTAAGGAAGAAAAAGTAAGTTTGAAGAGAAGTGAGTTTAAGGTTTAAACTCTGCTTCAGTTTCAGTTCTTTCAGGAATAAAATTGTGGAAAGCTGTGTCCAGAATTAATAAAGCAATACTTGGGTGAAGTTATTTCTGGGCATAAGAGTTTCTCCCCCCCACCTTCCAAAAGGATCTTTAAATGCTTCCATTGTACATTGTAGGATTGAACAGGCGGGTGTCTTAATTAATATTTAAGGTGCTATAAGACTCGCTGTAGGTAAGTAGACTAAAAGTGAAACTGCAGTGCTGCAAAGTAAATGTGCCACATTTTAAAAATTGTATCTTTGTTGCGGTTGTGCTAAGGTCTGCCTGCATTCTCCAAAGCCCACTTCAATAAGTTCACTTGAGATTTTAGTAAACAAATACAGATACACTGTCCTAAGCATTTTTTTCTGGTTATCTGGTGACAATCCTAGTTTACTTTAGATAAAATAGCATAGGGAGTCCTAAGTACCATTGGAGTCTGCAAGACTGTATGAGATAGCTTACTCCCCTTGGAGAATCTCTTTTTTCTACTGTAACGTAAATTAAAATGAAGAACATGCTAAGAGAGAGATACGTTCCAAAGTATTTTCATTTTTAGACGGTTGCATCATGACAGCTTCCATTAATAACATCAATGTTATGAAAAGCAAATTTATTACATATTGCTTAACAAAATTGGTTGTATGTGAAAATGTGGGCGTTGTAAAAAAAAATATTGTTGATTGGCATTGGGCATGTTGACATAATGGGCTAATCTGCAGCTCAAGGGAAGCAGTTCATTTTTGCAATGCCTGACCAGGTCAGTGCTTCTTGTTTGTTGTTTTCCTGGGAGTTAAGATTTTGGATCCCTCAGGGATAAGTAAATGAAAAGAAACTTATATTTTCTTCAACTCCATTGTGTCCCTGTTTTACTTCCTATATATGAGCTGTAGAGTGTGGAGAAGACAGAGGACCTGAAAAGATTGTAAGGATAGTACTTCCTTTCATAAGCACTTGTTTTGGGAGGGGGGGGTGTCCAAAAATATCAAGATGGTGGACATGATTGAAGCACAACTCCTTTTTACATAAATGCAAGGTTTGTGATATGTTTTAAAAAAGATTATCACCTGCATGCTTGTACCTGCTTTTTTGACACCTCATTCCCTCGTGGATACCTTTTGAGTAGCTTCCTGTTCTATATTGTAGAGCTGGTCTGGACAAAAGAGGGAGCTCAGATTATAAAAGTTAACTTGTTTTAAACTTTGGCTTTAAAAAAACTAGATAATGAATTGTAGTTTAATTGTGGCTTGATCCAGCATCCACGTCTAGATGCATCATATCCATTTATTATGTAGATTAGCAGATCACATGAACAACTGAGAACTGTCATTTATCAAAAATGGTAGTTAGTTTTGAGACCATCTTATTGGTTTCAAGCACATTTGTTAAACTGGCAGCCATTTATTATTTTAAAAACTGAAATTAGGAGAAATATACCTTTCTACTTTTGAGGTTTGCCATTTATAAATCATATTTACCTAAAAATTTTCATTCTTGGTTCTACTAAAAATGAAGGGGGTTGGAAACGGTGTACTTAAAGTATACATTGCAATATTTCTAATGAATGGTGAAACAAGAAGTGGTAATTTGTCACAGAGCCAGATTGTCAACATTTGGCCAGAATATGAACAAAGGCTGATATAGTGAATGTGTTGGATGATCTAGTCATTGTATGTAGGATGTAAATAATGGCATTGGTTATGCTCACATGACACTCCCATAATTAAATATACCATAGTTTACTCAAGTCAGTTTTTTGGATTTGTGTGACTCACTGAACCATAAACTTTCAGGCAACATGAAGTTGGCTGGCTATGTTCAGTATATCATAATGAGAACACTGTTTTTTGTGGACTCTTTCTCACAGGTTTCTATCCTTTGGTTAGAAATAAAGTAATTGCTGGATCACTAGCAAATTAATTTTTTGTTGGAACAATTAAATTAGCACAACTAAAATTGCTTTGTTTGGATTTTGACCATAAGCTTCTAGTTATCTTAAGATGCTGGCTGTAGTAGGAAGGAAGCTGGAATACAGTGTGATACACAGTGAAGATACATAATCTGCCAATAAACTCATAAGAAAAAATTAGGATATTAGATTATTTGGTATAAAGGAAGAAGCCATTGAAAGCCCAAAATGGGTTTCCTCCTTTATAGCTTTTTTATTAATGCTTGAAGAGAAAATTGCAACTCTGTTCAGAATGTTCTGATTACTTGAATTGGTAATGGTGTAACTAGGAGAATTTTTGGTTAGTAACTTAATAATTATAACTCAGTCTGTGCACATACAGGGAACATCCTGTTGTGGGCAGTTGAAATAGCATTAAACTGATTCTGGAAACTTAAATCCTAGATGCAACTAACAAATGCAACACGTTATATTTGAAGATGGATACTATTAATGAAACTGAGAAGTCCTTGGTGCTCTCTGAGCTTGGTTGTTCTCGTGCAGTTACATTATCCAGCTAGGTAACATCTTCAATTCTAAAAGAGAATGGGGTTCTCTATTTTTATATACAGTAAGTTGCCCTGTGAGTGTTGGTGGAGGGTGATGTTTTTTCTTGGTAGGTGCCTGATTGGGCTGTTTACTGCTTGTTTGTTTGTCTGATATTAATCCAAGTGTGAATCTTTGCTTGTTTGGGTATAATTGCTGGCCAGGAGGTATTCTGGTCTTTGTTTCCTTTATAGCTTTTTTTATTGTCTCTTTTGAATGGTATGCAAATATTTATGTGCCTGTTGATGGCTGATTTGTGAGTCCCAAGCTTTCCCAAGCATTTTTTGGACTTAGCTTGATCTAGATGCTCACAGATTTTCCAGTTGATATTATGGTTAAATCAGTCTACGTGTTGTGAAATTAAGGGATTTTCATAATCTCTTCTGATAGTTATGTTCTGCTAGTACTCTACTTTTAAAAAAAAATTCACTTTACAGTATTACATTTCAAAAAGAGATAAAATGCAAAGTAACAAAAATGGAGGGGTTCAGAAGGGGGGAAATCAAGAAGAAAAATAAGCGAAAAAAATGGAAAAAAGAAATACAGAAATATTTCTGCTATTCTTCTGCTTGTCGGTATAGTACTGCAACTGTTTCTTAATAAAGATACTTGAACTTGCCCTTCAGGCCAGCTCCATACTGGTTATACTTGTTTTTTAGTTTCATTATTCCAGCCTTCCTAGAGAGAGACATAACATAAGTTGAACAATCTGAATTTCATATTTTAAAGTATTATAATGCAGGGTGGATTTGATTTAAATCGAGTTGATTTAAATCACAATTTAAATCATGATTTAAATCACTAGTAAAAAGACTTGATTTAAATCAACTCGATTTAAATCATAATTTTTAAAGAACAACTGTCATCTCTGCTACTCCTTTGACCCACTGTTGACTCACCGATAGTCCCAGTGTTGCAGAATATACAGCCTCATGCTACATAACTAAGCTCCGTTTCATGCTGAATAAACTAAATTATTTATGTATCTTAAATAGAAAACTATCTTACGATAGATTTTTACCCCAAAAGTTTTTTATTAAAATAAATTTGATAAAAATAAAAAAATCCGATTTAAATTTTAAAAAATCTGATTTTTTTTTATTTTTTTTAAAAAATCATTGATTTTTATCCCCCCTGTTATAATGTGATATTCAAATTGTCTAAATTCCCAGCATCAACATTTAATATGTGAATTTCTTTAAAGCTTAATCCATTATGGAAGGCAGAGTATTTGGTAAAATAAATTTAGATGGAATTCTCTAATGCTAAGCATAACATTAGTTGTTGCAAAGATAATGTACAAATTTCGTTTAAGGAAATTGTAAAAGCATTGGTAAAATGGTAAAATTAAAAAGCTTTGGGGAGCTTGTATTTTTCTCTGGAAAAAAATATTGAGAACATTAGTGTCCTTTATTTTTTCACAATACAAAACTTGCTGGTATGCAACATTCATAGTTAACTCTGTTTATATTTGGCTGGATTCCTGTTGACAGTTGTCAAAACATTTTTGATGCAAAACGCAACAACCTTTAAAACAAATTAGCTCCTTTCTCTAAGGTTAAAAGGAACAGTCAGTACTGAGATTGTTATGTATTGACCTTAAACATTTATTCATGACATAAATCCAATTCCTGATAACGCATCATTAGTATAAGTATAAATGCCAATATAAGGGACACGGTGGCTCAGTGGCTAAGACGCTGAGCTTCTTGAGCTTCTGCCAACCTAGTAGTTCGAAAGCATGTAAAAAAATGCAAGTAGAAAAATAGGGACTACCTTTGGTGGGAAGGTAACAGCGTTCCGTGCGCCTTTGGTGTTTAGTCATGCCAGCCACATGACCACAGAGACATCTTCGGACAATGCTGGGTCTTTGGCTTTGAAACGGAGATGAACACCGCCCCCTAGAGTCGGGAACGACTAGCACATATGTGCAAGGGGAACCTTTACCTTTACTAAATGACAGTAAAATTGTAAGTGGGAGAAATAAATCTGTGCATGGTGTTTCTTTTCTCATTTAAATCATATTGGTTGATATAACAACTTTTAGTTAACCTGAAATATGTAATGAAGGTGCATTGATTTGTTTTCTTAGTTATGCAGACTTTAGATTATTATAAGTTTAGACTAAATGTTAAGACTATCTTGTTTGAACTGACATTTGGTGTGGGTGATGGATCTAGAATGAATTTATAATGTAGAAATGGCTTTGCTTTTTTTTTTTCATTAACCATCTTGAGCCATTTGAAGAATGCTGAGCGAACTATTTAGAGATTTATATTAGAATGACAGAAATATCACTGTAAACATGAGGTTTATAACTAAATGTTCTGATTGCTGAGGGGTTGAAAGCCAGGTTCAGGGAGCTTGTAACAGCTTGTCCCAATAGAGCAGGAGCCTTGTGGATTGGGCTTTTGCTTTGTGGCTAGTATTGCTGGGATTTCATTCTCCTCTCCCATTCCTGCAAGAGACTAAAAGGAAGAGAACAAAAGCTGGAGGGATGAGTGGTGGCAACAACTTGCCTTCTGGGCAACATCTGCCGATTGCTATTGCGTTGTGCAGGACTGATGGCAGCAGCATCAATACACTGTTAGGTAAGTTGAGAATAGAAAAGGAAATTGCAGAAAGAAAGAAAAATTCAGATGAGATCTGAAAAACAAATATAAGAACTAGCAAGCTAATTATTGAAATGATTGAGATTGTTTTGCTTGGAGAGTGGAAGGTTTGAAACTCTGAATATTAGGGCTCTGCAAAGCAACCATAGGGATCTTTACAAAGGATGCTGGTGAAAGCAAAATGCCCTTAAAATATCAAATAAGCCACATCATCTAGGTGACTCGGCCCAGGTGCTTTGTGTCTGATTGGAAAATGGGCTGGATCTGGCTGGGGTTTGCAGAGAAAAATCTATTGCATTTTTATATTTCTATGGCAGAGGTGGGGAACAATAGCTTGAAAACTTAATTGAAAGTCTTCCTCGTGGTTGTGTGAACCAAAATGGAACTACTTGGAATCAACTAAAATTCTAGAAGCTGATTTTGTTTCCCACTTAATTTGTAGGGAGTCAAATCAATAATTTGTCAGGCTGGTGACATAGAAGTTTAATACCACATAGCTCCCAGCGACCGGTAAGAACCCATAGAGTCGGTCTCCTCCGGGTCCCGTCAGCTAAACAATGTCGGCTGGCAGGTTCGCGGGGGAGGGCCTTCTCTGTGGCTGCCCCGGCTCTCTGGAACCAATTACCTCCTGAGGTCCGGACCGCCCCCACCCTATTGGCCTTCCGCAAAACGGTGAAGACCTGGCTCTTCCGGCAGGCCTGGGGCCGTTGATCTCGCTATAATGATCTTGCGAGACTCGGCCACGAATTGGAGTGCATGTGTTTTAACGTTTTTAAAAGTTTTAATGTTTTTCTTTTTAACATTTTTTGTGGGATTGTTCACATTGTTTTATTCTTTGTTGTAAGCCGCCCAGAGTCCCTTGGGAGTTGGGCGACATAGAAATGCGACTAAATAAATAAATAAATAAATGTTTTGATTGCCAGGATTTCTCCCAAATCTGCAAGGACAGGTCTTTCCTAATATTGTTAAGCATCAGATAAAATAGGAAACAATCAAATAAGCTGACTTTGTATAAATATACAAAAGTATGAAGGCTATTGCTTAACGCATTGTAAGCCGCCCTGAGTCTCTGGAGAAGGGCAGCATATAAATTAAAGCAAAAAAAAAACAAAAAACTTGAGGCCTTCAGCATACAAGACACATTTTCAGACATTAGAAACCCTTAATTATAATCCTCCTTTTCACCATCAAAACCATGTTTTGCTAGTTCGTTAGGTTTGATTAATGTAATATGTTATATTTTTATTTTTTATTTTTATTTTTATTTGATTTATATGCCGCCCTTCTCCAGAGACTCAGGGCGGCTTACAATGCATTAAGCAATAGCCTTCATACTTTTGTATATTTATACAAAGTCAGCTTATTGCCCCCACAAACTGGGTCCTCATTTAACCTACCTTAGAAAGGATGGAAGGCTGAGTCAACCTTGAGCCTGGTGAGATTCGAACCTGCAGAAATTGCAGGCAGCTGTGTTAATTACAGGGTGCATTAAACCACTGTACTACCAAGGCTCCAATTACCAATATACTAGGTGCTGTGCTTTTCTTGAGTAATTTAGGGCATGATAATGCCTCCCAATGCTTTCTTAACACTAGTTAAAGATGATTAGCAATTTTATTGTTCTTGTTTGGGTTGTGAGCTTTGTTTTCTTTCTTTTAATATTTAATACTAAAAGGAGAGCAGAGGATAGTACATATCAGCAATAGATTATGGTAACTTTCTTGTAATGGTAATCTGTGCTGTTGCTCTATATATAATTCTCCACATTTTTGTTAAATTGGTTTTAGTTACTGTATAACTTTGGTAAATGTTTTCTACATGCCAATGTAACATAGCAGAAATAATTTGCCTTCAAAGTATGTTTTCAGTCTATTGAATATGTAACTTTTTACTTAAGATCTGAACTAATGCAATGTCCTTTCTTTTAGGAAGTATATGTGAGGCAACCCATAGAAAAAGAAGTGGAACCTCACTTGTTACCAGGTAATGCTAAAGAAATAATATTGCACAACATTGGATGCTATAGTTGTGCATTACATGATACAATTTAGTAGATGATCTAAATTCCAAGGAATATATGTAAACAAATAAACTAAATACAAATATTTGTATTATTATTATTGTTATTATCATCTCTTTTATTCATTAAATATGAAACTCAATCAATTGAACATTTAAAAATGTATCACAAATACCATTGATTGGTGGTAATGGTTGATACTGGTTGTTGCCAGTATCCTAGGTATCAACCAAGTATCTTCTTAAAATGTATAATGTTCCAAGTAGCTCAGGTTTTTTGCAGTTCTGCTTGTGTCATTGCAGGAAGCTGCAATTTCTTGATGTATTTTATAAAATTCTTGGACATGGTACCAAGTGCTCCGATGACAGTCGGTATCATTGTTACATGTTTCATCCATAATCGTGTAGTTTCGATGGCCAGGTTGCGATATTTCGTGGTTTTTTTCCAGTTGTTGTTGTTATTGTACTTTTCAATTTCTGTAACTTAAAAACGCTCCTTGCTTTAAAAAGATACATGGTGTTACTTTGAAAAATGAACCTATTTGCCTTATATCTATAAAAATAATATAGACTATTGGTTAAATGGATGCCAGGGCAGAAGAGAGGTTCCTTTTTATAATACAGTCCTAATTTAGATGTACATAATTTCCTTAGAATGTTGTTTTTTATTTCATATTAAGGCTGATTGTGCCCTGTGTTTAACTCTGATCTGATAGCGCAGTTTAAAGTGAACAAGTATTTCTCCAGTTTAGAGCAATAACTACCAGAATCCCTTTAATTATGTAGCTCATGTTATATCTACAATGATAGCATTTGAGCAACTTGGAATTTGAGAATCTAAGTTCATTGCAAATTTTACTTCCGTTAGGTGAACTGGTGCTTTGTGAAGCAAACATGGTTCTGAAATTTGTACAAGACGATGGATCAAATCGTGGCACTTTTGGAAAACTTATTTGCACAAACTTCAAGATTTCATTCCTTGGAGAAGAATCCACTTTAGAGGAAGTAAGTGATCAAAGTTAGTTTTTATCTGCTTTGTGGGCAAATTCTCTCTGTTACATGATGGTTATGTACTTTTTATCTCAGTAATGAATTGGGCATGATGTTTTATAAAAGAATATTGGAAAGTTAAGCTATTGCTCTCCATATAATACATTTAGTACAATTTTACATCTTATAATTTTGAATGTGTAATCTATTTAAAGACTTTAAGGACGTTTTTGGCAGAAAGTGAAAATATTAAATCCCTGGCAAATTAGAATATTACTTGTGGAAAATAACAGGGTTGGTTTTGGCACAGTTCTGGGAAGGATTAGAATCTTTAAAGAAAAAAAAAACTGATTAAGATTCAGCCATATTTGGTAATGTTGATGATATTTCATTAGTTCTTAGATGTTTAATACTCTAAAATAAAAAGAGCTAATTAACTTTTTGAATGTATGTTCTATTGTATTGATAGTAAAAGAGAAATCTTATTAAATTGTGTTCTATTAAGCAAATGTTAAGGCATTTTCCTCTTCTAGGAACCGCAGTTCAAAAATAAAATCTTGGAAGAAAATGACATAACCCTTCAGTGTGTAGATCAACTTTATGGAGGTAGGTTAGCATTAATAATTGCTTTATCTTAATTACTACACTTGGTTATCAGAAATACATGTTCAGTTTTGTCAAACGTGGGCGATTTAGATATTTTTTAAATTTAATGTTAAATATTTTAATTATGTTTTTAATTACAAAATGATGCATATTTGTGATGTAACACATGCAAAGTGAAGAAGAATAAGAAATAATAAGCAAAATCACATTTGGATATAAAAGCAAAGTCTAATTAAATCTAATGTACAGCACTACATTCTCTATACTTCTCCATTCTTACAAAACCTGCTTCTTTCCATTGTGGACTGTATGGGACATGAGATTCCTGGAGATAATTTGGCTCTGAACCACCCAGAGTTTTAACAGCATTGTGAGATCCTTGAATTGCCTTGGAGAGCAAACTGTGATATACTGTGATGTACAGGTAGTCCTCAGCTTAAGTAACCGTTTAGTAACCGTTTGAAGTTATAATGGCACTGAAAAAAGTGACTGACAACCAGTTTTCACACTTACGATCATTGCAGAGTGCCCATAATCAAGGGATCAAAATTCAAGTACTTGGCAGTACTTGGAATGTATTTATGATAGTTGCATTGTTCCCAACTCATGTGATCATCATTTATAGCTTTCCCAGTGGTTTCCAACAAACAAAACCAACTGGGAAAGCCAGATTCGCTGAACAACCACACAATTCACTTAACAACTGCAGTGATTTGCTTAACTGTAGGAAAAAATATTATAAAATTGGGCACAAGTCATTTAACAACTATGTTGCTTAGCAGTGGAAATTTTGGGCTCCGTTGTGATCGTAAGTCGAGGACTACCTGTACTTGGAAAGGAACAACTCATTATCTGCCCTGATATATTTTTGGCCAGGTGGTTTTCAGATTATTGTCATTGCCTCCTCTGCAAAGACCATATTGCACTAACCCAGCCTTGAGGTTAGCACTGCATGCATGAGTCAACAAAAACAAAAGACTTTCTGTTCTAGTTAAAATTAAATTGAGCAGTAAATTGTCGTGAAGCATGAATTCAAGTATTGTTTAAATCTTCAGAAATACAAATATTTGAGGGGTAAAATTGGGGTATTCTTTGTATTTTCAACAAGAATTGCAGGAGGTAAAGAAGGTAAATTGCAGGTGTTGATTAGGCTAATAGTACCAAAGTAAGGTTGCAGAGATGACTACATTAGCAACAGCCCAAGCACAGATCTGCACACTGATTCTCTTAAATAATATGTTCTTTCACTCATTATGAAACACTATATATCAGCATTTTAAATTTTTAAATGGTTCTCTAGTCTCTTAAGCAAATTGAAAAAAATGTTTCCCAGTTTCTCATTATGATGGCTATAAATTTAGGAATATTTTTTGGGGCAGGAAGATCTAAGTTTACTGATTTCTGGATAAATAGTGGTAAGTTCCTTACCTGAATAAATGTTAAAACTAACCTATGTTTTTCTTACAGTTTATGATGAGAAAAAGAAACTTTTAAGTGGTCAACTGAGAAAATATCCAGAAACAATAATAATCTACTGCAAAGACCTTAGAGTGTTTCACTTCTGTTTAAGATATACAAAGGAAGAAGAAGTTAAAAGGGTAATTATGGCTTTACCTATTTCCTTTTTTAAAAACAAAAACCTTTGGAATATGACTAAACATCCACGAAGAGCACTCATGTTACAACTGAATTATATTTTTTTAAGAAGATCCGAAAATTAAATAGGAAAGAAAGTCCTGCCTTGTTGAAGCATCTTTGTCTAGTTGTGGCTTAGCCATGTTTTCAGTTAATCACAAAATACTCAACTATAAACCATTGGTTTACAATCTGGATCCTAAATTAATGGCAAACAAAACCCATTATAAATTAGCACACATTTGAATCCACTTTTTGCCTTCATTCACCTTCATTTGTGAATCCACTTTTGCCTAAAATACCTATGCATTTCAGTATAAGGAATAGAGTATATCCTAATTGCTGGATTCCATTTACAAATTAATTGTGCCATGTGAATATTTCTCATTTGATTTAACATACAGTGAAGAAAAATAGGGCATTGTATGGCGTTGATTTCATGACTATTCCTTAATTTTTTTTTAAATGAGGAATTTTAACTATGTATAATATGTTATGCTTTTAGGTCATGTGGCTGTTAATAAGTCTTGGGGCTCTGTGTATGATTTGGTTCGAACTCTTACCTGAGTGTTAGAAACCTATTGCAGTTTTGCAGGTTACATTGACCTAGTTATACCTTCTTTGGTTGTTATGTTTGCTAAGAATAAAGAGAAAGGCTATGAACAAAGATGCAGGAAATGTATGAAGCTGTGAACACTCTCAATCTTCTCCAAACCTCCTTTTCATAAAAATCATTACCCTTATAACTAGAGATAGCATTAAAGAAGAAATCAATTGGAGTCCTAATCTTCAGCTGCCTCATTCATTCATTCCTTTAACCTGATTTCTAGAACTTTCTGCATATGTTTCCATCTGCTATTGTCCTGACTTAATTGTTAACTCCAACACAATTCTACCTACTGACAAATAGCTATGCAGGCCACATGTGAGATTTGTATCCTTTGTACTACAGTATGCTAGACAGCATCTCCTAGTCAGATACTTTAATGCTAATGAGCGATGGTGGCGTAGTGGTTAGAATGCAGTACTGCAGGCTATTTCTGCTGACTGCCAATAACCTGCAGTTTAGTAGTGCAAATCTCATCAGGCTCAAGGTTGACTCAGTTTTCCATTCTTCTGAAGTTGGTAAAATGTGGACCCAGGTTGTTGGGAGCAATATGCTGACTCTGTAAACCACTTAGAAGGGGCTGTGAAGCACTGTGAAACGGTTTATAAGTCAAAGTGCTGTTGCTATTGGTAATAGGGGAAGTCCATATACAGTATTTCAATAGAATTGATATCTAGCCTTTTGAGGTATATATGGTCACTTTAGGAAATTCTTCAGTCTAGGAAAGTTGGAAGGTACTCGGTTCATCTAACTAACATGAATGACTTACAAATATGATGATTTCTTGTTCCTTTCTTAGATTGTCAGTGGCATAGTTCATCAGACACAGACCCCTAAGCTATTTAAACGCTTGTTTCTGTTCTCTTATGCATCAGCTGCCCCAAATGATTTAGGTAAGCATGCACAATATATCTGCCTTGCTATTTTGATTCTAGGTAATTATTGTCTTGACAAACTTTCTTTTTTTAAAAAAAAGTTTTTTATTAATAATTCAAATTTAAAAAACAATGGACATGGTTTGACATCTCCAGTTACTAACATTTCTGTCTAATTCAAATTAATAAATAATATATTCCTTAATCTATACACAAATTTACATATTTCATTACATGTCAAGCATACTACATAATTCCTCCTAAACAACTATATCCAATAAACTTATATCACACACACAAGTTCAGTATACATTGACATATATATTTCTAGACATTCACTACACCTTCCTTTTGGCATTCTTCCTCTTGTATAACCATTCACAAAATTTAGTCCAGATTTCATAATATGTTGATTCACTTTTATTTTTGAGTTTCAAAGTGAGTCTGTCCATTCTGCACAATTGAAGATTTTACATAACACTTCTTCTTTTGAAGGTGTTTCTTTACTCTTCCATTTTTTAGCAAATGTTATTCTTGCAGCTGTTAATATATGTAATATTAGGTAGGTTACATTTTTATTATATTTACCATCTTTGACAAACTTTCTTTAAAACAGGCTTGGTAATACTGATGAGAAATAGATTGTATAATAGCTGTTCATGTTTGATCAAGAGGTGAGCTTCAACAGATTCCTGTAAAAGACTCATCAATATTCTGTATGTAGGAATTTGATTAAAAAATGGCACTGCTACTTCTGTTAAAAATGAAAATATATGCATCCCCTATTAATTATGGTGAGTGTGAAACATCTCAGAATGGTAATCGCTCCTTCTAAAATCAAAGCCTACATTAGAATTGTAAAAAAAAAAAAAAAAAAACCCCAGTGTGTTTATCCTACTAAAAAGCATCTTTCACAAAATCTTATCAGCTTTTTGGTTAAAATGCAAAATCCATTTGAAAAGTTCAAAATTGTCCAGTCTAAAAAAAAATAATTATATTTTAACAGAGAAAGCGAATCAAGTAGTATGGTTTGATTCTATTAAAGACTGGCGTCAAGAATTGGAGCGGACCAAAGGAAATCTAAAATACAAAGCAGTGAGTGCTAATGAAGATTATAAAGTCTCTAAAAAGTAAGAACTCATCGCTTTTTTTAAATTAACATTGTTGACCAAACAATTCATAACTCAAATTGGTTTCCATTTTATGTCTCTTGTCTTCCATGCTCCCCTGCTCTTCATTCATCTTGCCAACCCTCACAATCTTCCTTCCGCTGCTGACGAAGCGTGTCCAGATATGGCTGCACCATATCTTCTTCCCAAGGCAACTTGTCCTCCTCGCAATGCTTCAGAAGACTTCTGAGGCCTTCTAAATCCCCACAAGAAGGCTGTACCTACTGTTATCTAAATTCTGTGGGCTGTTCTCATGATGCTTCAGAAGGCCTTAGAAGCTTTCCAAAGCATTGGAAATATACTGAATGGCTAGCACAGCCTTCTTTACAGGGTTTCAAAAGGCCTCAGAAGCATCACAAGCAGCCTCAGAAAGAAGGCCTGGCATAATTCAAGGCGTACCTGTGTTATAAATTAAAATATGAGCAAGTAGATACAGGTTCATGAAATTAACTGTGATGAGTAGATGATAGATTCTAAACTCTTATTTATTTATTTATTTATTTATTTATTTATTTATTTATTTATTGGTTCAATTTATATGCCGCCCTTTTCCGGAGACTCAGGGCGGCTTACAATGCGTTAAGCAATAGCCTTCATACTTTTGTATATACCTGCTTAGTAGGGCTTTCGGGCCCTCCCTAAGCGGTGTTCTTTTTTATACAAAGTCAGCTTATTGCCCCCACAAACCAGGTCCTCATTTTACCTACCTCGAAAGGATGGAAGGCTGAGTCAACCTTGAGCCTAGTGAGATTTGAACTTGCAGTAATTGCAGGCAGCTGGTATTACTTAAAGCACTTAACAGTGCTTTAGTCTGCTGCGCCACCAAGGCTCTTGTACAGAAATAAAATACATTTTCTTTAGTTCAAGATTCATGATAACTTTTGCTCCTATTTTTCACCACGTTCAAAGGTTGCTTCTGTTACAGGATAATCCATTAGGATAATAATTACAGGATAATCCATTAGGTACCCTACCTATGATAGCCAATGGCTCCGTAGAAAGAATGAGGAATATAAAGCTAGATTTCTATTTAATAGAAAGTTTGAACCCAAGAAAATATAAGATGTGGGCTGTAGTCTTCATTGCCACAAGACAACCGTTTGAAATGACTTCAGTCCTTCTGTACAATAAAAATTCCTAACTACCTGAGGTGTACTGAGAAGCCCCAACTGAGAGATAAGTCTGAATAACTTGCAGATTCTAATTTGTTAAATTAATATTTCTCAGGTTGCCCGCCTATTTTGTTGTTCCAATGGCTATTTCTGAAGAAAGCATTTTGCAGTATCAAGGAAGAGGAATTCCAGTGAGTATATTTGTTGACAAGTTTGAACAAGGTTTTAGTAAAGATATACACATGTATATTGTATTACACTGTATTACATATGCATATAAATATGCATACACATGTATATACTGTATATATGCACACAAATATATATGGCTTTTTTATTACTACTAAATGGGTAACTTCAAATGAATGCAATTTAATAATATAGTCTTAGCACAGTCACAGATAAGCAGCTGGTCTCACATATTTATGTAACTCAATGTATTGTTTGCTTCTGGGAAGTAGGATTAATGCATAAATACAGTTAATAGATCAGTTGAAATAGTCCTTTGATTTGGATGAGTGGAAATGAACTTTGTACTTCCTTCTTTTTTCTTTCTTTTTTTGGGGGGGGGCAAATTACCCCTTTTCAGAATAGAACCAATAACCTGATTCAAATTGAGTTTCCAGTTCCAATTTAGCAAACTATAGCTCTGCTTTAGTGTTCTGATACCGTGTTTCCCCGAAAATAAGACCCTGCCTTATATTTTTTTTAACCCTGAAATAAGCGCTTGGCCTTATTGCCATGCGCTCAAAAGCCCGATTGGGCTTATTATCAGGGGATGTCTTATTTTGGGGGAAACAGGGTACATGTAGAGTCAGCTTTGTGTAGGGAGATGGGAATATATCCTAGTTCTACCCCATTTTGTTTTCCTAGTATGAGTGTTGCTTACCTCTAGGATTTATTTTGTATTACACTCACTATGGTTTATGCAGCAAAGCTATGAATGTGTGATGCAACAAGAAGTTTTACCGTTAGGCCTCTTCGTTGCAGAACCTAGCACTGCTATGGACTGAAAGAGAGGGACTGATCCAGGTCACCCAGCTGGCTTCTGCCCCTAAGGAGGACTAGAAATTGGGTTTTCCTGCCCCTAGCCTAACAGCTTAACTGCTACATAGTACTAGCTTTCCTAACAACCCCATTCATTTATATTGATCATATTTATTTCCCATGAACCAGTGAAACCATCCCATGGTATCTAGCAGTATCATATAAAAGATACTATAAATAAAAGCCCTGCTAATAACCCCCCAAAATATTGAAATGTAATAATTATTTCATTTATAAATAATAAGAAATAAGGGGTAGAAACTCCTCTCCAAAAGGCATAAAACCCAGACAGCCATCTTCAAATCACACTTGAGTATATGTTTTAATTTCTTTTTAAAACAGATTAAGGAGGAGATAATTAGAATTTCTAAAGGGAGTGAAATTTTACAGGATGATATTGCTAAGAAAATCCTTGCTCCAGTTGTTAGCTAAATGGGCTTTCTTCTGGGTTGGCACACTTAGATACTCTAATGATGTTGCATGTGTTAGAAGAAAACTGAAAGTGTTGGATGAGTGATAATCTGTCATTTAGAAACCAGTTTTTTATAGAAATAGTTTGAATTGCTAAAGAAAAGCATATATGCTATATAAACATTTTTCCTCATAAAGGCTGATATTGTAGGAGAGTCATGCTAGCTTATAATGGCAAAAATCAGGAAGAATCCGGAAGCCCCTTTTCCAACCAACATAGTTTATTAAAAGGCATACATTTTTGTGAATTGCGCTCCTTTCATCTGATGCATAGAATACTAGATTTAAATTGGGGTGAGATGAAGGGGAAAGGGAGGGGAAGGTGGATTGATTATGCAAATGCAGGGTACATATGAGACAGGTTACAAGTACCTTACTAATTAACGATTTTAATATTTAAAACCCCCTTGTTTGTTGAAACCGTTTGAGATTGCCCGAAACATTTTGATTTATGCCAGTCCAGCAATTTCTTATTCAACGGTGCTTTTAAAATTCCCTTTTTTCAAAACAAAAAGAATGACAGAAAACTTAGCTACCGTTACACAGTTATATATTGATTCTTTTTTTTCATTTTAAAAACAAACTTTATTAAACATAAAAAGATAAAATATCATATCAAATACATACAAAATACATTTATATACAGAATTTATATATTGATTCTTGATGCAAGTAGGAAATCCAGATAGGGTACATGGCTAGATCTAATGGGGAAAGAGCATGGGATCATATTAAGATAATCCAAATTGTTGTTTGAAGGATTATCCAAACTGTTTCATCCACCTTCACGTTAAGTGCTCTGTGGGGCACTGAATTTCATGCATGGTGAGTGGAATACTCTTAACTTGTGTTGTATGACGCCTCTACTACTCCATAACAAAATGAATGTTTCACATACATAACTAAACCACATGTAAATATCTACTGCAGATTTGGTGTTGGTCTTGCCATAGTGGTGCTGCTGTCCTCAAGATGTCAACTTTTGGCAAAGACCAAGATGACAACACTTCCCAACTGCACAAACTATTCTTGGATGGGTAAATAATAGTTCTGTTTCAACTTAGTACATTTGCATTGTCAGCTGCACTAACTCTATGAATACTTAATTCCCAATGGCAAACTGTCATTTTCTTTCCCATTGATAATATACTAGACATTTGTCCTTTCTATGGATCACTATTCTGGGTAGTCTGGCACTTTTCTGGAAGCAAATATGAACGCAAGCCCTGTGGGGTGTTCTGAATGCTGCAGAAGACTGTTAGACTATTTGTGGAATAACTGGATCAATCTGGTCACGGAAATTTCTCTAGGATTTCCTCTTTCAGGAACTACAAATTTTGAACAACCCTATAATATATATTTAATTCCCCATTACTTTAAAACACAAACTCTTGGGCAGTAGAGAAAGATACAGCGCTTTCAACACTATTTTATCAAGTATCAATAAGTATCAATATAATTTAGACCATGGTATTCAGGGGTGGGTTCTACTTACCTTTACTACCGGTTCGCAATGGGATCGCGTGTGCGCCTTGGTTCTGCGCACACGCGATCGCTTCTGATGATGTCAGGGTCAGTGGGCGGAGCCTCCCACCGGTTTTACTACCGGTTCTACAGAACTGGTCCGAACTGGGGGCAACCCACCACTGATGGATTAGTGAACAGTTTGTTCACTCATCTGGCTAAGAAAAACAAGTCTAAATCACAATCAGGCTTGAAGTTACTTTGAGGCTCAGGTGACAAAAGGTATAAAAATTTGTGTATTAACACACCAGTCCTTTAGTTTTATTAATACATTTATCAAACTTATACTACAGTCCAAAAAGTAATAACACCATTCAATAAATGGCAGCTGCAAGAAAGATGTTGCAACTGTAACAATAGTTTATATAGCAAATATTTTCTATTACAAATTCTCTGCTATTCATATATGCTTAATATTTCAGGAAGGTTTAAGTTTCTTCACAATATGATATACTTTTCTCTATAACAATGCAGAGAAGGAGGTCAGGAAGATTGGCACCCACAGATTCTTTGTTATTTGCAGTAAACTTGTATGCTAGTTAAAGAATCCCAGAAACAGAAATATTGTTGCCCTACCCCAGGATTGTATAAAATTAGTGAAATTTGATAATCTCACTACTTTTGTCCCAAAAGTTACTATTCTGCCCTTTTGATGCCAAATAAAGAAGTCTCCATTTAAGGCATTCTACTGTGTTCTGAATGTTGTTAATCTGTTCTATTTAGAATGTATAAAACAATTGATAAGCCTCCATATGAAGCCTTGAAAACTGAAGACCTTTCAAGCAGCCTTCCATCTTTGCAAGAAATCCAAGTTGCATATACTAAATTTAAACAGCTGTTTTTAATAGGTATGTAGAAATCACAAGGAAAATTACATTTTACAACTCTAATGTGGAAAAAAGGCATGAAATCTAAAACTGCTAATTACTATTGATACTTGTTTTTAAAGGCTTGTTTTTAAAGCTGCAGATGCATATTATATCTTAAACCAGGAATTAATGGATCATTTTTCAAGAGAGCCAGATTTTTTTGTCGTCTTTGCTTTTTACTGCTTTTTTAAATTACTTTGGAAGTACATTTTGCAGTAAGAACTGATTAAGAATTAATACTAATCAGTCTTTCAGGGTTTTTTTTTATTGTTTAGAGGAGTTTCTACTTCAACTTTGTATCAGAAGATTTTCTTAGTCTACTGATTGGTATAAACATTCAGTTATAGTATGCCTTTCTATAGCTGACCATTCGTTTGAATTGTATTGTTGAAACATTATTTAAATGCAGAGTGAAACAATAAATCCTATACTCTACTTGGGTTGTGCTGATGCAAAAATACATTTGAGAATATAACACAATCATTGGTATGTCTCTGAATTGTTGAGCTTCATTGCCATAAATACATTCTATATTTCATATGTAAATAGCTAAAATTATTATCTTGTGTTTTTTTCAGATAACAGTGCAGAATTCTGGGATACTGATGTAAAATGGTTTTCACTGTTAGAAAGTACAAATTGGCTAGAAATCATAAGGTAGGTTAACTTCCTAAATTGTGTTATCTAGATATACTTAGGAAAGCTTAAGCAAACCATCTAGCCTTTAAAATAATACAACATGATGTATCCTCAAATTTTAACTTCAACAAATTTCATTTTGAGATACTGGCATTTATCCAAGATTCTTGAGCTTCTGCTGGCTGCTGGCAATTTGGCAGTTCAAATCTCACCAGGCTCAAGGTTGACTCAGCCTTCCATCCTTCCGAGATTGGTAAAATGAGGACCCAGATTGTTGGGGGCAATAGGCTGTAAACTCTGTAAACAACTTAGAGAGGGCTGTAAAGCACTGTGAAGCGGTATATAAGTCTAAGTGCTATTGCTATCATGATCCCACTTGATTCCAAAACAGAAATATGACTTCCCAATTCAACTTTCCAGAGATATATTAAAGCTCTAATTTGTCCATGTTCTTGCAGGCGATGTCTGAGAAAAACAATAGATATTATTGAATTGCTTGAAGTACAGAGCACAAATGTTCTTCTTCAGGGTAAGTTCAAGAAAGCATACTTCCCCCTTTCCAGTCAATTATAAGTAGATGAAATAAAATAAAATAAAATATAGTTCCTTAATCTTTTATTCATGAATTGCTTGCCATGTAAATATGTTTAAAACAACTTAAACTTGACAGTTTTCTAACCTTGCTTGCGTATAACCTCAAACTGAAAATTTATTTGAAGAAGCAGAATAGTTCAAAACATACTGCTGAGTCAATGTTCACTTAATTCCTAAAAAATATTCAGAACATCAGTTTTTCAAATTGTATTATGTAATTTCCGTATGCTGCATACATGAAACACAGTCTAACTGTACTTCAAGTATAGCCTGGAATATCCTTCCTCCTCCGAATTATTCAGAGGTAAACCAATATACACATTAGCCAAATGGAACTATTTTAGGATGCTTACAGAGGTACTTGAAGTTAATTTGCTATGTTTGACAGAAATTTCTAAATTATAAAGCAGCCCTCTTGGGGTGTTAGCCACTCAGTTTTTTGCAGTTTGAACAGGCTGTAAATCCATAGGAATAAATATTAATCCCTTCTATTTCTAAGGAATAACACATGGGATGTAATTTCATTTTTAAGAAAAAAACAGGATTTTATTGTGTTAACTGAAAGATACGCAAATCATTTTTACAAGTAGGTGAATGGTGAACTTGTAGTAATGCATGAAGAATTAAGCTTGTAACATGAATTGTGACAATTGTTAATAAGCTAACTTTTTTTCTTAAAAATTGATTGGGTCACTACTTGTCTTCTAGATTATTAACTACATCCACTCACATCTTTTGTGTTTCATTGGATAATGTAACTATTTTTCCTGCATGGGTGGGTGGGTGGGTAGGTAGGTAGGTAGATAGATTAGACAGACAGATAGACAATTAAAAAATAATAATATACAATAATATGTGCTGCAAAATTAGCTCCAAATAGAAACTACTGTAATTTGTATAATGCATAAGCACAATAGAAAGGTAGAGTAAAATTCAAGCTGTTACTTCATCTGGATCAGTTCATCCAAGTTAATATCTGTGTTGTCTGTGTTGCATCTCATTTGCCACCAGTTCATTACTGAATCCAAAGTACAAGTTAAAATAAATAAAAATAAAATACAGGTAGCCCTCAGTTAATGACAGCAGTTGGAACTGGAATTACTATAGCTAAGTGGTTTGATCATAAAGCACGATGACATATGAACATGCCACTTAATGGCAGTTCTGGCACTACCGGTTGCCATCATTAAGAAAATCACTGTGAGTGAAGCAGGGACATCACATGGTCACTATTTGCAACCTCCCTGCCAGCTTCCCCACTATGCTTGCCAGAAGCTGGCAAAGAAGGCCACAAATGATGACTATGAGAAGCTTTGATGTAGTTGCCAGCTGGGCACCAGAGGACTGGGCATACGCACCACATGTTGAGACCCATCACAAGTTTGAACAGTCACTGAATGAATGGTCGTAACCAAGGACTACCTATAGCTACAAAATAAAATTGCCTTTTCAGTATTCAGTTTCTTAAAATTCTCATCCAAGAAGCTGAAGAAGAAGAGCTGAAGAAGCTTCTTGGATGAGAAGCGAAATGTCTTCAAAGATAAAAACCAGAAAGTCCATTTGCCTCTTGAAAAAGCACCTTTGGAAGTAGCATAAATGCTTGACCAATATACAACTGCAATGGAATTGAGCAATAATGCCCAATATCACTTTCTGGAAATGATCTTCCAAATAGAAGTATTTTGTCTACTAAACTACTTCTTATACCCAACATAAACTTTAGAAGAATCTCTTGCTAGTTACATTCATTCTGGTTATAAACCATAGGCTGATTGGGTGTAATCCATTCCAAAAATATGCCTGAACCCTGATAGAACAGATCTGTTTAACCTGTTTTATCAAAGACTGTCCAATCACCATCTGCCCACCTTTTGTTCTCTTGACCAGCTTAGCAAAGAAAAGTAGACAATTAATTACAATTATTTGTTTTAATTGCTTTCAAGCTTAGAGGGTTTTTTCCCCAGTGGAATTATGACTACTTGCAAGCAAGTTCTAACCATGTTCCACTATTACTCTTTTTGATTTTGAATAACTCATACTTTATCTATTAAGTTATATATTATAAATGAGGGTTAGAGAATTTGCATTCATTTTACAGAGCATGTCAAATACTAGCATGCAGGAGTCCTAACGAGATTCCTTTCTTTCCCTCAGTTTCAGAATTCATTTACAGTTACATTAAAAGCACAATTCTCTACATCAAGCTCTACATTTCTGCCAACATCATGTACACCTTTCTGTCAGTCACTTGCCTTAAGAACAGCATCAGTGTTTGAATATTGAAAGCCACTTTGAAAAGTTGATTGGCATGCCCTCAGAGAATACGTCTGTTGCTGTTATTCTAATGAAATTTTAAGATTTGTCAATAATACTCCCTCCTCTTATAAATGTGATTTTTTTTTTTGCATCTGTCATTTCTTTGAGGAAAATTTATATTCAAACATTGAAAAAAAATGCATCGTGTCATCTTTTATTCTATTCCTAAAAGAGGATTAAGCCTATTTGTTTGATTAATCTTTCCCCCCCTAAATGTAATAGAAATAGAATAGTTAGGAAAGAAATGGGTTTAGTCACTCTTGAGGTGTTTGGGTCTGTATACATTTATACATGACTATAAATTTCTGACTAAGATACACCAAAGAGTTGTCCTATATTTTAAAACATGACCCTTCTAGCATGTTTCTTGGATTCTGGTTTAACACCTGCATCTGTCCTCTGTCTTATCTCCTTGTTTTCCTTTCAGTGAAGACCCTGTCTTCTGCTGTCCCATTTTTCTCCACCTGTGAGTAGTACGGTTGGCTAGCCTGCAGAGGGCTAGTTTAGATGAGTTGGTGTTTAGCATGTCAGTCTTGTAACTCAGCAGGATCAGAACTGGTACAACAAACTTGCTAAGCTCATTCATAATGCAGTTGTGAAATTTGATTTGTTTAATCCTGGCTTACTCTGTGAACTCAGTTGGCTTGGCTTCTGTGTAGGTCATCATTAAATGAACCATGTCTAGTGTGATGAGTGAACCCAGTTACTGGCTTTGATACTTATAAAGGTGTGCTTTTGGACAATACATTACCTTGCTTTTCCTGGAGTCCTGAAACTTGGTCCTGTATTATATTTTGTACCATATGCTTAACTAATCTGTTGTATAGGTTCTTCCACTGTGTTCATGCTCTCTCATTCTGATATAATGCCCAGTAATCTTCTTTGCTTTACACTGCGAAACTCTGCTTCAATGCATGCTGCTTTGGAATATATTTCTTTGGTTTATATGACCATAATCAACAGAGAAATGTTGAATGACATACAGTATTGGATAAATTGATAAATGCTGTGTTTCTGAGAAAGTAATACTATGTTATTTAAATCATTTGCTGCTCTGTATTAATTTTGATCTTTATTTGATTTTAATAGAATAGTACAGATTCAGGATGTTCAGTAAACCCATTACGAGTGCTAACATCCCACTCAATAGCCATTAATGTTTGCCTGAAAGGGACTGTAATAACACAAACATGTCCATTTAAAGTGGCCACAAACACTTTTCTCTCATCTGAAATAGTTCTATTTGCCTCTTTATTTTTTAGAAGAGAATGCGTCTGATCTCTGTTGTGTGATCTCCTGCTTGGTTCAAATTATGATGGATTCATACTGTAGAACAAAGAAGGGATTTCAGAGCCTTATTCAGAAAGAATGGATCATGGGAGGACATGCTTTCTTGGATCGCTGTAACCATCTGCGGCAAAGTGATAAAGAAGAGGTATAACTCAAAGTTCTACAAAGATGTTCTGAGCAAAAATATGTCTAGGGAGGAAACTGAGAATCATGGAACTGGAAATGGTGGAGTCTCTGCCTCAATACATAGCTTGTCCAAAAATATGTCAGGGGCAAAAATATTTTAGTAAGGGAACAAGAAAGGCAGGCAAGGCTTTGTCAGCTTTGATCACACTAAGCCAGGGGTGTCAAACTCAAGGCCCAGGGACCGGATCTGGTCCGCAGGATGCTTAGATCTGGCCCATGGACCCGCCCTGGAAACAACCCTCTGCCAGTGAAGGATCGGCCCGCGAAAACAGAGCTCAGGAGAGTTGTGTGTGGCCCTCCTGAGCTCCGTTTTCACTGGCAGAGGGCTGCAGAAAGCCATTGTGGCTCAAAACAGAGCCTCGATGAGTGACATTGAGCTGGCCACACCCACCCTTGCCATGCCCTCCCCCCTCCCAACCACCAGAGGTCAAACACAACCCTGATACGGCCCTCAATGAAATCAAGTTTGACACTCCTGCACTAAGCTTTTGGCCTTCAGGGCTTAAGAGATGTATAGCACAAGTAGGCAAGCCAAAGCATGCAAGTGATATAAATTAATCTATTCATATAATACTCAGTAACATTTCAATTTTTTTAAAAAAAACTTCAAAAGCTATGAATAGGCCCACAGTTTTGGCTTTAAATATAATAAGTATGAAATCAAATGTCAGGGACATTACTCAGAGTTGTTTTTAATAACAGAAGTTAGGGAAATAGTTGTCTAATACCACTGGATTCAAGGCTGTCTCTGTGACGGGTAAACATACTGGTGCTTCTTTCTGAATTGCTGGAATCTCCCTTTTCCTCCAAGAAGCATTAACTATTCTGTGGCTCCAACTCCCGTTTCTTTCTCTGGTTGCTTTAACCAGCCAGATGCAGCAAGATCTTAATGCCAGGGCTAGATCACAGAGAACTCTGTCCACTTCGTTAAGATCCAGAGACTCAGAAACCTCCCAGGTACATCACAATACATCACCCCATCCGATTTCTCCATCTTCAAATTTAGAGAATGTGAGTGATTAGCTGCAAATATTTGGCCAGGTAATCACTATGTACTCTAATGGGTTTTTCTTGCCCCTCCTTCCCTAAAAGACTCTAGGACATCTATGTAGTGTATGTGAGTGACATTTTGCAGGTGCTGTGTGAAATAATTCTGCTTTACCATAATTATTGCCATAGTTTCAAGCTTGTATCCATATCTGATTACACCTACTTCTCCTTCTCTGCTAGTATTGCTTCAGACATGTCTTCTTACTTTTTATTTCCTAGAGCAATTCATAGAACTAAGTAGGATTAATAGGCAGGGAGCAGCCACTTCTGCAGTGCTTGGCTTTCTCTGTTTCCCAGAATCTAACAAAGTACCCAGTAAAACTAGCCTTTAGATCTATCTTAAGAAAAATTTCCAGATATACCTGGATATTCTTTGTATCAGATTCTTAGGGCATCTAATCAACCCTACTTCTCCATGGAGGCTTGTACCTCTGTTGTCACAAGGAGTGGTCCACCAATTACAAACCACTGATGGAACAGGTCCCCAGAACCACATCATGTCTCAGGCCAGATTTAATATGTGGTTGGTTGGGGGGGGGGGGCAGAGAGAACCTGGGACAAGCCCATGGTTTTCCTAGGGTTGAAACTAATGCAGTAGGCAAAATCTGGCTGGACAAATTCAGATGACTGGCTAATGAGTAGGGTAAGGGGACCTGAAGTAGAAACTGGAACCAGATTTCTAATCTGCCCTTCCCTGAAATGGCTCACTGCTATCTCCATCCAGAATTCATTATCAGAAGTCAGCTTGAATTTATTAGTAACAAGTTTGGCCATATTGCCTTCTGTCAGTTTTGATTAAGGAATTTCTTTATCAGAACGTGTGGATGAAATATATCTTGATTTTAGCAAAATATCCATGACATTTTGATTGATAAGCTAATTAAGCATAAACTGAATGGCATGACAGTATAGCCATATGCAAAGGTGCTCATGTATAGTTTCCCATTAAAATAGATAGAGTTATTGAATAGGATTCCACAAGATTCAGGCCAGGGTGTTATACTTCAAAATGCTTTTATGATAATTTGGATGAAGAGGTAAGAAAATCTCATCAGATTGGCAAATGATTTAGAATTGGATGGGACAGCTAATATCCTAAGTTAGAAATACCATTTAAAATGTAATCGTTTAGAAAATAAGTTGGAAAAAATTGGAATTAAATTTAACATGAACAAATACAGAGTTCTTCTCTTAGAAAACAAATCAAATGCAGAAGTAAAGAATCAGGTTCCTTGGTAATAATCTTTGTGAAAAAAAATATTGGAATAGTTTTTGATTGAAAGTTGAATGTGATCAATGTGATGCAAAAAATATGGTTTTTATGTTCTGTCACTAGAATTGTAGTTTCCAAATAATGGGGAATTATAGTTCTACTTTGTTTGTCAGTGGTCAGACACAATCGTGACTGGTGTATCTGGTTTTCACTGTCATACATAAAAGATTCATAGTAATTAACAGATATGGAAAGATAGTGAGAATGATCAGGAAAGTAGAAATTAAGTAAAGGACTTATAAATTCTGTAGTCTTCTAGAGTGATTACTGGGCGGGTTGTGAAGAATTGTCAGGCCCAGAGAATAAAGAATGACAAATGAAATCACTTCTAAGAAAAGATAGTCCTCATCCTATAACCACAAATGAGCTCAAAATTTCCATTGCTAAGCAAGGCAGTTGCTAAGTGAGTTTTGCCCCATTTTGCAACCTTTTTTTGTCACCGTTGTTAAGCAAATCACTGCAGTTGTTAAGTGAATCATAGGGTTGTTAAGCGAATCTGGCATCTCTCATTGAGTTTCCTTGTTGGACGCTGGCTGGGAATATTGCAAATGGTGATCACATGACCCTGGGACAGTGCAATTGTCATAAATACACACCAGTTGCCAAGCTCCCAAATTTTTATCGTGACCTTGGGGATGCTGCAACGATTAAAAGTATGAAAAACACTTGTAAGTCACTTTTTTCAGTACCATTGTAAGTACGGCCACTAAAAAAATGGTTGTAAGTAGAGGACTACCTGTAATTTCTTTATTGTTGTTCACCTGTTTACAGAATCTTGCCAGACTAAGGCAATTATCAGCATAACTGTAGATATACTCTGAATTGCTAGGGAGGGGCTGTTCCAGTCCTTTTCATGCCTACCAGAGATTCCAAGCACTGCCGACTCCCTCCTGGAACTTTAGAATATATTCCTCCAGAGGGATATATGATAGTATTTTTCATATACCTGAAATGATGTCACATGAATGGAATAATAAATATAAATTACAGAAAGGAAAATTCCTATTAAACGTTTGGGGAACTGTTTTAAACAAAACTCTTCCACCAATTATTCAGGCAAGAGGTGTTAAAATGAAGACTAGAGGGCTCTCAGTTGGAGAATTTTAATTTCCATTCATAATACTGGCCGAGGAATTGGATTAGATTGGATGGCCTAATTGGCTGTTTGTAACCTTTTCATTCTGAGATTCCAGCTATGCCTACAGGCCTTAAAATATTAAAACTCTTTCCCTAACTTATGCTTCTGACTAGAACTGCAGCTCCTTAATGACTTCAGGGCAAGAAGTGATAATAGAAAAAATAAGGATAGTTGCACGACTTGCCTTCATTTGAATGCCATGTAGTAAATGCAAGTTACTAAAACTTAATAAAAGCAACTGTGGATCAATTATAACTTTTATGAGCATTTTTTTCTGTGAGATATTTAAAATGGCATAAAAGCAAATATTTATTAAAAAAAATTAAAATAAAAAAATTAAAATGTCAGATTTATTATCTTGGCATGCAGTTAAAAAGTATTTTAAATACCGTTTTATAGGGCATTACTAGCATGAAATGGAGGGGTGAAATTCATTTGGTGGAAAGAGATTTTCTCTCCCCTCCCCCCATTCTTTTAGCAATGACCTTAGTAGTTCTTATGGAGGGATAGATCTTGATGTGATAGAAGCCTTATTAAGTCAAGTCTTGTTGAATGCAGCACTTCAACTATGGTGATCCTTTTACTGTATCTTGTACTGTTGTAGTTTCCTCATTTATTTTTTTTATAGGCTCCAGTTTTCTTGCTCTTCCTGGACTGTATTTGGCAACTAGTTCAGCAATATCAACCAGCGTTTGAATTTACAGAAACGTACCTGACTGTTCTGTCTGACAGCCTTTACATCCCCATATTTAGCACCTTCTTCTTCAATTCTCAACACCAGAGAGATACCACTACGGTAAGAGGGAAATAATCTTGATTACCCAAACGGAGCAAATGGAAACAGTATTTTCATGGAAATAAATTGTTTTGGAAGTGGTTAAAAAAGGGCTAAATGAGGACTGCCTAGTCGAAGGAATTGAATTAAAAATAAAAATGATTCAGTGATCTGGGATGAAACTGAAATGAAAGAATGGTGGAAGGACTATGTCCCAAGATTTGTATGGGAATATTATATTAACAAGTTAATAACATATTAATGAATGTAATTGATTGAATGTTGCAACCAAGTAGAGAAAATACTTGACTTATGACCACAATTGAGCCCAACATTTCTGTTGCTAAGTTAATTTGTTAAATGAATTTTGCCCCATTTTATGACCTTTCTTACCATAGTTGTTAAGCGAATCATTGCAGTTGTTAGTAACGTTGTTAGATGAATCTGGCTTCCCCATTGATTTTGCTCCTCAGAAGGTTGCAAAAGGTGATCCTGGGACTCTGCAGAAATGATTAATGAAATGGATGAAATTTACAGAATCCACACAAATTATGCACGTAGATATAATTTACCTAGAGAAGGGCATATTAGATTTGTTAAAAAATCGATGCGTGATGAGATTCTTCATAGGACCAGAGAAGATCCACTAGAATTACGAGGAAGACAACTTGTGGTGCTTAAACAAGTCCCAAGAAGGGTAAGAGACTTAAGACGACCCTACCAAACGCTTACAGCAAAACTAACAAGGAAAAACCTAAATTTTCGGTGGCTGACTCCGGAAGGGATTATGGTATCTTGGGGAGAATGAAGGTTGATATTGGAAATGGTTGACAAAGTAGAAGAGTTTTATAGACAAAATTTTGGTACTGAGGTTGAATTGAAGGAAAGAGAAAGAAGGGAAGAAGGACAACTAGGAGGACAGTCACCAAATAGGGGGGAATCCCAAATCAAGGAAAAAGAGAATGGGAAAGGAGAGAATGTGGACAATGGGAAAGACAATGATGGTGGACGCAAGGAATATAAAGAAGTCAGACAAACGAGGGCAACAAGACCTAAGTATAAGTAGTGGTTTTCAAGAAGAATTAGCAATTCTATCATTAAATCTTAATGGGTTAAATTTTCCAGGCAAAAGGGAAAACGTCTTTAGTAAACTGTATAAGACAAATGTGGATATAATAGTGTTGCAAGAGACACACATAAAAAAACAGCATCAGTATCTATTAAAATGCTCTAAGTTAGGAAAGATGTTCATATCTTCATCACAAAGAAGAACGGGGGGAATTGTAATTTATGTAAAAGAGGGTATTTTGGCCAAACAAATGTATAAGGATGAAGAGGACAGAATATTGATAATAGAATTAACTGTGGATGGGGAAAAACTGATGTTAGTTGGAATATACGCGCCAAATGAGGGCCAAAAACTATTTTATAAGAAACTGTATAACATGATTAGAGACCTAGAATGTGATAATTTGTGTATAATTGGTGATTTTAATGCAATTGTAGATAGAGAATTAGACGATAGAAATGACAAACGAAAGTAAAGTGTTAGAAGGTTCATTTTTCAAGATGGTGGAAGAATTAAGCTTAAAGGATTGTTGGAGGGAAAGCAATGGGGATAAGAAACAATATACTTATTATTTAGCTAGACATCAATCTTGGTCTCGAATTGATATGGCTTGGGCATCGACAGATTTGAATCTGGGAATTGAGGAAGTTAATATTGACATAAATTTGTGGGCAGATCACAATCCCATTTAAAAAACATACTGTAAGTCACTTTTTTCAGTGTCGTCATAACTTCAAATGGTCTCTAAATGAACTGTTGTAAGTCAAGGACTACCTGTATGGGCTTAGGCCAGAATTAAACAAGATGTAATATGTGCAGTGATAAATACTCTTACAATATAATTTGTGTATATTAACATTAATTAGCTCTATCTCTTGGTGGTGATCTTAGCAGGCACACCCTTCCAAATACTGACCATAATTTTGCTACCAGATGAGTAGTAAACTCTTACCTGTTTAAAGCCATCTGCTTTAGGGCTTGGTTACTTGATGGAGTTCCTGTTTCTCATAACATTTCCCTGGCTGATTTGAAAGTTGACATGCTCTGGGGTTCCTTTGATTAAACCAGGGGTCGGCAACCTTAAACACTCAAAGAGCCACTTGGACCAGTTTCCTACAGAAAAAAACACACACAGGGAGCCACAAAACCTGGGTAGGGATGGCCAACACGATTTCACTCATTCCCACCCAGTCACATGACCCCTAGCCATGCCTACCCAGCCACAAAACCATTCTCTGTATCTCCTCCTCTCTCCCCCCTTTGTGTCTCTCTCCCTCTGTATCTCTCTCTCTCCCCCTCTCTACATATCACTCTGTGTGTATGTCTCTATGTCTCTCTCTCTGTATGTGTGTGTGTGTCTCTCTCCCCCCTCCCTTCAAGCAACCGTCCCCCTCCTCGCCTCTCCTCTCGTAACCCCTTAGCCGGCTGTGGCTGAGCCAGGAGCGTGTGCACGCGTGGGGAGACCCTCCTCAAGCAAGCGCCAAAGTGCAGCAAAGTCGTGCATGGGGTGGGCAGCTGCTTAGGAGGGTCTTAACAGGACGCGGCTTCGGCCATCGCCTTGCCGTGTCATCCCCCACCCCCGGCAGCTCTTCAGCTGAGCGGGGAGGGTGCAAACTCCAACCTGAAGCGGCAGGAAGTGAAGGCTGCCTTACGTGCAAATGTAGAGCGAAGGCAGGTACAGGACTGCTTCGCTCCTGCATTCTCTGGTGACCCTCTTCCCCCTCCTCCTCTCAGGACGCCTGGGACAGCTATGGCTGAGCCGGGAGCGTGTGCACGCATGGGAAGACCCTTCTCAAGCAAGCGCAAAGCTCAGGAAAGGCGCACATGGGGCGGGAAGCAGCTTACTTAAGGAGGGTCTTCCTGCGCGTGCGCACACTCCCAGCTCAGCCACAGCTGGCCAGGGGGTCATGAGAGGAGGGGAGGAGAGTGCAGGAGCGAAGCAGCCCTATACCTGCCTTCACACCACATTTGCGCGTAAGGCAGCCTTCGCTTCCTGCTGTTTCGGGCTGCAGTCCAAAAACTGAGAGGGGTGAAGGGCGGGGCCAACCAGTGATGGGACAGGGAGCTGCGGCAGAGGGCCCAAAGAGCCGCTTGCGGCTCCGGAGCCACGGGTTGCCAACCCCTGGATTAAACCATGTCATCTTTCAGGACTTTAGAAGCACTCTGTAGCAGTTACCTGCCCTTTGCAGTGAGATTCCCACCCCCCCACAATCTGGATGGCCCCCACTCTGCTGTTTTTTAAAAGAATCTTGAATACCAGGCTCTTCACTGAGGGCTTTGGTGAAAGAGACCCCTCACTTCATTGCACTTGCAATTTTTTATTTTATTTTATTGTAATTTCTTTCTTTGTTGGGAGTTGTCATCTTGAGTGACTGACAGTCTGGCAGTTTACAAGTCTAATAAATCCTTATTATCTAAATGCCCATGGAAATTCTTAAATAAAGGCAGAAGTAGCATTTGTATTGAATCAGAATAAAATAAAAAAATATGCTCAGCAGATTCAATTTTACTTGTGCCACCTGCAGATAAGCTTTATAGTAGTTTATTATAACTTTGTGATTTTATTAAATCTGCCTCCAAAAGTGTTTATGAGACAATATAATGGGCTTTGGAAACTGCCTACCCACATTTTAAGAATGTGCAAAAGAATATTTTACAAAGGGGGACCTCTGTAACTTGAGGCAATGAATTCTTACATTTTAACTCAGCTAATTCAGAAACTCCTTATCCCCTGGGTGCTGTCTGACAGCATTCTTCATCTTCTCTAACCCTAGAAGTAAAGAAACTCAGATGATACTGTATTAGTGATCCTTAACTACCACTGTGGTGTATAACTGGCCATGGTAGTAACTGCAAAATGGCTAAATTAAGTCTTAGTATAAGCAGGTATTATTGCTTGCCAAGCTTTAGCCTTCCTTCACATAGAAATTAACAACCACTGACATACCTCCCTCACCCTCATTTCCCCCATTTCCTGCACTGATAATGTTACCTAATATGGAAATTACATGCTGGCAATGCAAATTCTAGCTCAAATATCTACCCTGAGCTCAAATCTCAATTCTGGGAAGCCCAGCCTCACATTACAGGGCCACATTACGGCCACATGTAGGGCTCAAGAAGAAATCCTTTAAACAATATGCTATACTTTCTCATAGAGTCCAAAGTTTGAATGAAGGCACCGTTATGCCCAATATAATAGTGACTATTATAACTATTCCTGTCCAAGAACTAAGAGATGAAAAGGGAGTCAAAAACATTGCAAGAATGTTTTTAAAAATAGTAATGCTGCAATGTAAATGATTTAACTGGAGAAATGTTTTAAAAACATGCTATGATTTATGGAGTACCTTTGCAGTTTTGTTAACATGTATGTGAAGCCTGCATTTATGGAATTGGAAGAATGCTATTATTGTTTCAATGTATAGCAATAGCACTTAGACTTACATACCGCTTCATAATGTTTTACAGCCCTCTCTAAGTGGTTTACAGAGTCAGCATATTGCCCCCAACAATCTGGGTCCTCATTTTACCAACCTTGGAAGGATGGAAGGCTGAGTCCACCTTGAGCCGTTCAGAATCGAACTCCTGAGGTGAGCAGTGAGTTAGCCTGCAGTATCGCATTCTAACCACTGCGCCACCATGGCTCTATTTCTCTAAATGGAAAAATAGTGGGAGTGAACAACTTCAGGGGCTGAGCTTCTTAGGAAGGCGTTGAAAGAACTCTGATTCAGAGGGAACAAAAGCAAATTTGACCTTAGCAAAATTTAGGGCAGAAGATATAACAGACCAGATGTTTATTTTTCAGCAGGTCACCACAGAGTATATAAATATGAGACATTTCATTATACATCTGTTAATTTGGGGACAGTATATAAATTAACAGACAGTATCTATTAATTTGGGGACAGAATAAGCTTGAAATATGAAGTGTTTTACAGAAAACTGGAATTGCTGAAAGCGTTAAGAGCAATATTTGATGGCAGTCCAGCACGAGGAGAGTTAACAATTGCCTGTTGTTGTCCCCTTAATTATTTCATGGTCTTACAGATAAATGTATAAGGAACTCTTATGATGAACAATCTAGATTGTTTACTGGGGAAATGGGAAAATTTTAAAATCTACAAATGCCAGGTAATTCTTGAATTATAACCATTCAGCAATCATTTGTTCAGTGACTGTTCAAAGTTAGCATGGTGCTGAATGAAGGTCCTCAAAATTCTGGCCGTTGCAGTGTCCACTATGATGACATGATCAAAATTTGGGTGCTTGGCAGCCAGCTCTCACTTATGATCCAGTTGCAGCATCCCAGGGTCTTCGAACCTGACCCAGCATCACCCAGATTGCTTTCATGCCTAAGGCGGGACTAGAACTCACCATTTCTTGTTATGTAGGTCAACACCTTAACTACTATACCAAACTGGCTGTTTGATGGCTAAGGTTTACTTTGTTTAATGGTTTAGGTTAACTCTGCTGGTCAAAGGGTTTGACGACTTTAAACTAAGACATTCCATTCTATTAAAAATTGAAGTATTACAGATTTAAACACTGCTGATTGGAGAAAATGCATTTCTAAATTAATTCCAGAGTTTTGGTTTTTTTTTTTTAACAGTATGGAGGAAGTCTTGATACAGAAGGCAGCAAACTTAATTTTCTTTCGGTTTGGGATTGGTCTGTGCAGTTTGAACACAAGGCTCAAGCTTTGCTTAACAACCCTCTTTATGCAGAAAAGCCAAAACTAGACAAAACTCCGAAAAAAGCTTCACGATTCAAGGTAAGATATTTGAATATTTCCACTGTAATAACTGGAGGAATGATAGAGATTGGGCTACTAATTCAATATGATAACATTGTTCAATTAGGCTGGAGTATGTGCATTAAAATAACTATAAACAGTGAATTTTGAGTATATAAAAACATTTTCACAAGGACTCCTTACAAAAAGTAAAAAGAATGATTCAAACTTTTATGCATTTTGTTTTAACTTGCTACATTTGCTACTTTTGTCTACTTTGCCCAGAAACTAAGCTGGAATTGAGTTCAGGTAATTCTAATTTTGTCTTCTAAATTTCTTTTACAGCATCAGAGGCAACTCTCCTTGCCCCTGACACAAGCAAAACCTCCTCCAAGAAGGGGATTTTTTAAAGAAGAAACAGATCAATTAATTAAAAACATCTTGGGCAAAAGAATCAGCAGGCTGATAACTTCTTCCGATGAACTTCAGAATAATTCCAGAGAATTCTATGACAGTTGGCACAGTAAACCTGTTGACCTTCACGGACTCCTCCTGCCATATCTAGAAGGACCAGAAATCAAAGTATGGGCACAGAGATATTTACGATGGATTCCTGAAGCTCAGCTCCCTGGTGGAGGTGCAGTTGCCACTGCCACAAAAGTCTTAAATGTAATGGAAGATGTACAGGGTTTGCAGAAGAAAATAGACGAAAGACATCATCAGGCAGAATCTCGTGATGATACCGAAGCTTCTCCCTTTATGAGAAATCCTGCTCGTTTGTCATCGTTATTTCCCTTTGCTTTGCTTCAGAGACATTCCCTTAAACCAGTTTTGCCTACCAGCATTTGGAAAGACTTGGAAGGTGAAGAAGATTTGGCCAGGAGAGATGATGAGTATGTTGATCTAGGAGGTGGTGATTAATGTAATGCTTCTTTTCAGTTATAGAATTGAACCATATTTCTGTTCAATTATTGGAATAAAATTGGTTTCAGGGAGCCACATAATTTCCTTTGTATTCTGGATAAAGATAATTATAATGAAGTTTTAATACAGAATGATATACAACTGTGCTTGAGAACATGGATGTATTTTCCATAGACATTGGGGAAGAGGGAGGGTTACAACAGCCTTATTCTTAATTAGGTTCTTCTGCCACAGGAAGGAAGATCACTTTTTTTTATCATGAGTGTATAAGAACCTGCTGAGACAGCATGCAGGATAATACCGCAGCAGCAGGATTAAACAAAAATGAATATTTTTTTCTCTAGCAAGAATCTGTTCTATTTCTTACCCCTTCAATAAATGAAAGTTTTATCTCCCTGCCCCCAAAAAGTGATTGTTGAGCAGTCATGGGAAAAATTAAGGTGTTGAAAATATCAAGAAAGATCTATTGGAGCCTGCCTACTTCAGTTTTAATAAGTGGTGGCATCAAATGTTCGTCAGCAATTGGAAAACAGCCTAGTCTGGGAAGGTCATCTATTTATTTTATCCTTGATAAAACTGATCTTTGTAACGAGAATCTTATTTTTTTTAAGTAGTTTGAATTTGTTAGTTGTTTTAAATTTGAGCTTGAGAAATAAAGAGTAAAAGACGGTCACGAATCCTGCTTGTTCTGATCATCCATCCTCTAAGGTTCTAACATTTTCATAAAACAGATGGTCTTGAGTTCATCTCAGCCTTACTACGTAGATGGTCTCTGCTTGTTGTGTGTTTTCTGATCAGTGGTGACTTCAGGTAATTTATTGCCCAGTACAAGAAGCAAACGAATTTATAAGGTATGAATAAACTAGAATTGTGTTTGTCAAAAATTTTTATAGGGTTCTTATGTTGATCTTTCTCACCAGTACTAGTAGTTTGCACTGAACCTCTAGTCCTTCTGTTAGGAAGGCATTTAAAGAAATGAAACTGGACTTGTCATCCAGTATTTGTGCTTTCTTAAAGCATGGCATTAAAGGTAATAACGAATGTAAAGAGTCTGCACGGTGGAATCTCAGATTACAGAACGTTGCTACAATAATACTGCAGTTACAAAAGCCATACAGAAATGCTCATTAAACCTGGTCTGATTATTTTTAAGAGATGGACTTGTCAAATTAACTTCAACAACTGTCATAAAAAAACTAACATAATCCAAAATTAGAAGTAATGCACAGGATAGAATTGATTCATAAACAGGACTATTTTTGGGAGAATGAGTGATAAATTGATAAAGATAGTACAACTTTCATTAACACTTCCACTTTCTGATTATGCTGATTAAGAGTCTGGGAGAACAGTTGTTTAATCCAGTCAGCTATAGAAAGAGGAAAAAACACAATGTCTGATTTCTGAATTAATTCTTCCTAAGTGCATTTTTTGCTTTGGATTATGTTCACTGTGACAAACAGAGTCTGTTGGTTCTTTTAGTTTTGTTGGAATAAAAGATAATGAGTGTTTTATTGGAATATGTGTATACATTGGTGAGGATAAAAGCCAAAAGTGCTAAAGTCCCATGTTGCCTTATGCATCTTGTTATTATGAACTCCTTGAGTTTTCAGAAATTTGAAACACATTAAAAACTTATTTGTATGTGAACCTTCCAAAAGCTAACATTTCATATTTTTCCTTGTAACGTCTGCAACATTTGCTGCGGCTCCTCTAGATACTCGAATTTATAGCTGGTTGAATTGTAATTTGAATACTTTTTTAAAAACACTAACATTAAGCTTAAATATTTTTGACAGTACGATTGTAATATATTGATCGTGGAAATGTATTTATATTTAAGCTGTCAAATGTTTATAGAAAAATATATAGAAGAATTTTTATAATAGTTTATGGAATTGCTCCATTCTAGTCTTGATCAGAACACAGCACTGTATGAATGAAAATTATTTAAATGTATTTTTTCAGGTATTGCGTTATTACCTCTCAGTTTTTACACTGAATACAAGCTTAGCTTTAACAGTACTTAAGGATAAATCTTCCTGTAATTCACTGTAGTCTGTTTGGATACCTGTATTTGTTAATAAAATGTACTTTTACTAATAATTTAAAAACTGTTTGAATCATAGTTGTGTTCTTTGTTCTCACATGGGATCCGTTTTGAGTTACTTTTGTATGAATGCAATATGAATAATGGGCCTATAGGGAGCGTACATAGCTGCTTTCTACAGAGAATTCAGAATTCACTTTACTTTTTGCTATGAAATAAATGAGGCCCCAGATTGTTGGGGGCAAATTCTGTATGAGGACATTTGTAAACTGCTTGGAGAATGCTATAAAGCATTATGGAGTATAATATATAAGTCTAAGTGCAATTGGTATTGTGTCTGAGGCATCCACCTCTACTGAGGGAAAGATTTTGCATTTTGGCACAGATAGATTCCTTCATTCCCCTTTCAAACCATCTATCTTCCCTGTCCAAAATGTGAACATTATGGTCCACATTTTGCAAATGTTTGGCAAACACCACATGCCTATGTTCTTGAAACCCACCAACACATTGAGACAGAGGCTTATCCATCCTAAAGATCAGACACTAAAACATAAAGAGTAATGTGGTATATGCAGTCCAGTGCTGTGAAGAGTGTTCAAAGCTCTACATTGGGAAAAACCAAGCAGTCTTTACACAAGATGGCCCAGTACAGGAGAAAACTCCCTGGAGGACAAATTGGGGGGGGGGGGAGGTTTGCACCAATAAGAAAAGTCCAGTTGCCATGACTACACTTTTAAACAACTAGTGTATTTTCTGTTTTTGTTACTGTAGTAGTACATTTAAAATTCAATTTTTAAAAATGTATGGGGCACTGTGTTAAAACTTTTGCAGAGAGTGTTCTTTAAAGAAAGCAGATAGTATTTTAAGTACAGTTACTCTTGCCTTAGGCAAGAAGCCAGCTGGGTGACTTGGAGCCAGTCCCTCCCTCAGCCCTAGAATTCGGGCAATGGTAAGCCACTTATAAAACCTTGCCAAGAAAACAGCAGGAAACTTGTCCACGCAGCCGCCAGGAATGACCACTAACTCAAAGGAACCAGAGGAAAAAGATCTTACTCTGCTTGAATACAGGGTCTGTTGGCTTAGAATTTGCTGGGCTTTTCAAACATACCTCCTCCTTAGCTTAGTGTCAACATGGTTTCGCTATGTCACTGCAGGTTTATCAGAAGTCACATTGAGAATGTGGTAATTAGAAGTTCTCCTGGTTGGAGAAAGCTGTCACAGATAAATGTATGTGGTAAATATAAATATAAGAACATGTTTTCTCTTGCTGGATGTGAGAGTTGAAGCATGATCTTTAAATGTGCTATGGTGCTGATGCAATAAGGGAGAAAACAGGCAACATGCAAATAAATTAAGGGCACAGGCTTCCTTGTGCACAAACTCCATTTTTGAGAACGACAAGGACACATCCATGCAACAAAAGGGAAATAGTTTTATAATGTCTTTGGGGATATATTTTTTTTATCTCTAAACAGGACTTAAATCCAATCCTGCTTAACATTATTAAGTGCCACACAAACAGGAACAAGGTAGTTACTTCAGTCTGTTATATCCATCTATACTTATCTTTAGTTCACTGGCACACTTTAAAAAATAACTTTTGTTCAATGTTGAACTGCTTAAGAGTATGCAGTATGTAGATAAGTAAATGCCTAAAATGTATGCGCATTCTATTTGTTCAGGAACTGCTGATAATTATACTAACATGAAGTAACACTAGAAATTGGTTCTACTCAGATTAGTTTTTCAAAGTGAATATTTTGGATAATGGAAAGCTGTTTAAATGATAATCTATGAATCTGTCCGGACTGATTTACATGTTGGAATTTTTGAACTTGTCAATAACTCCTGTTGTTGGAGTTATAAAAAAAATATTTTGAAGGCATAGAACCATGGAACCATATTGATGGGCACGCGAGCGTTGCCCTAGCTCAGCTCCAGCATGCATGCGTGCGCTGGCCAGCTGATTTTCGGGCCTTCTGGGCCCACTGGAAGTCGGCAAATGGGCTGTTTCCGGTCTCTGGAGGGCCTTCAGGATGTGGGGAACGCTGTTTTCGCCCTCCCTAGGCTCCTAGAAAGCCTCTGGAGCCAGGGGAGGGCGAAAAACGGGCCTACCAGGTCTACCGTGCCATCACATGCCAAAAGCGGGAGGAGCACGGGGGTGGGGTTGCACATGCATGCACGGGGAAGCAGGGTGCATAGAATTATGGGTGTGGGCACGCACGTGCGTGACCACTCTGCACTCCCCCTGCTTTTGGCACGAGATGGTAAAAAGGTTAGCCATCACTGGCATAGAGACTAAGATGGAAGCGCATAGAGTTACCTAGAATTCTTCTAAAGAATTTTGTTTTTGGACTATGTTAGAACTGTAAATAAATAAGGTGGCACCTCATTGTCCACTTGCAATCCAATCAAGTAGGATTAGATTAGGATGGGGGTAAAGGTAGTACAGGTGGCACTGATATTTCTACCCAATGCTTCATTAGCATTTGGCTCACCTGTCTTGCGGGAACAACCGGGCGGCCATTTGAGATTATTACCTACCAACTCCAGGAGGTACAACCGCTGAAAAATAATTCATTTTTCTTGATACCAAGGATTGATTAACATTATTTCCAGAATCCGTATAAAACCCTTGGGCTTCTCTACTCAGGCCTGACTTTCTCATGAATCAGACATAATACATTATTTTAGGCAGCAGAAAATCAGGAGGAACAATGTATTGCATCTGGTGAGCTGAAGTAGCTAGTTTTATAGGTGTTGTGGCCCGCCAGCAGACAGCTGATATGGCAGCAGATTTGGACAGTGAAGAGGTTGGGGAGGAACATGGGCCAGTCCTGGAGTCTGGGGAAGGCTCTGATGAGGGCTCTGCGTCAGAGGCAGAGATGGGGCCAGGGCCGTCTTGACAGTTGTCAGCTGCCTTCGGAGTCGGACATCAGTGAGGCAGAAGAACAGCTGGATCCTGTTCCCAGTGTGCACATGCGCAGTGTGCACATGCGCAGAAGGAAACAGCTAAGGAACAAGGGTCGACTCAGGAGTAAAGCCACAGGTGGACAGTGAATGGCCCCTCCCATAGGGAATAAAGTGGAGCGAAGGAGAGGAGAGTTTGCAGGAGACAATTAGTTCATTTAGGTGAAGATCTGTTCCTGCATTCTTGCCAAGTATTGTCGGTTACAGTGTGGAATCTGCAAGATATCAGCCTGGCCACTCTCCAAGCCTGATAAAGGTCGGTAATTGTGAACTAACTTGAAAGACTGGGAGAGGAAAGACTTTGCTGGAGAGGAATTCACTGTAAATTAAATAAAAGGGGCTTATCGGGACGAGGACTCAGCTTCATATTGCTGGGGAAGCCTAGGTCAGAACAATAGGCAGACAAGGAATTAACTCCTGCATGCGTGTGCACACTGCTAAGATGCTGGAAGGTGTATCAGATGAAGAGCAAGCATCTTTGTGAGAAGATGGAAGGCATCAAAAAACCATCTGCTGCTGGAGGACTCCCTCACCCAGTCACAGCAGACTTAAATTTCCTGGTGAGGAAAGCCTATGCCTTCTAGCAATGGAGTCTCCCAGAAACCTTTCACGAAGACCTGGAGTTACAAAGGAAATGTACAATTTATATTTATCTCTCTCCTGATCAGATGATTGTATAAGTGTAGACAGGCAAGATGATACATAACCATGGCAGTGTGTTGACACTGTTCAGGAAAGGAGCAGAATACAATTTGTTACCTGGGAACACCCTATTTTTGCATATGTGTAAGAATTTTGTCATACATACAAAGGAAGTGATACTTTTACAAAGAATCTGAAAGAAAATATATAGGACAAGAGAAAATGTAAAATGCTTGCTCTCTTAGCAAATTGCCAATTATGGTGAGGAACAAAGATAAGAGGAGAAATGATAAAATACTTCAGTTTTATTTCAACTCTGAGATTCCTAAAAGTCTCAGGGCTCTTTGTAAATTTTCTAGCTTTTATCACAATTACTTTAGATTTTTTCCCGCCAGAGAAAATCAGTAAAAGAGAATATTGGTTATATTGTGAGTATATTGTCCTGATGTATTAGAAATATCCCTTGTGGAGAAAGAAACTAGATTCTCCTTTAGACCAATGTCTGCTAAAGAAACAATCTACTTTTAGAAAGGTTTCATTACCAGAAATTGCACTGGTAAATATAATTGCTAGTTGAAACTGATCATTTCTGGCTGAAACAGAGATTAAAACTTGCACAAGTGTATATTCCAGATTTGGAATCATTCCCAATTAACCAAATAAAACATATCTTCTTGCCTCTGACAGAGAAAAGGAATATACTGATAATATATTCATTTTTTTTCTCTGAAAGTGCTGACACTAAGCATTTTAGCTTTTATATATTGTGGTGTCAAATAAGGCAATAAGAATGTATCTTGATGATAAAATCCTTCAGCAAGCTAATAAATTGTAAGGATCTTTGCTCCCTAGCAATAAATCTCATTAAGTTACCCTACCATTTCTTGGGTTATTTTGGAATACGCTTTGCTTCTGACATCTTGAAGCTAGACTATATATCACAATGTGTTAAATACCAGAAGAACCATCTGCGTTTTTGTTGCAACAAACTTCTAGAAACATTATTAGCAAACGCAGTTCACAGAACAACAGCTCTGAAGCTTACATTGTATAAACATATTCAAAGGTTTGGAGAGTCACTGTTTCTGAGAGAAACCACCAGTGGCTAATAAAGATCACTTGTTTGATGGGCCTGCAGTAACATTATTCCACATTCTTGACACTGACCTTACAATCATTTATATACTGTAGGTGTGCAGATATAGACAGCAGAGTTATGCATGCTTCAGAAATCATTTGGAAGAAATGCTAGCACAGCCTTTCTCAGCTATTCACTTAAGCAGCCCCTCTTTCATCAGGCTATTCCCACAAGGTTCAAAGTTTTCACAGTGCTCATAAATAGTACTTTATATATAACATATAATGCAATCATAATTATTATGGTTTGTTACTTAGCCAACTGTTTAGACATTTTTGTTTAAATGTTTGGCATTTTTAATCCACTTATAG